CGATTGGTGCTTTCGTATGTCGATGAACCTTAGAACGCTGGCAGGATAAACAGTTCTGAACAAATTGCTTGATGTCCTTATTCATGTTTTTCCAAACAAATCGATCGGCAACCAATCGACGAGTAGAACGAATTACCGGATGTGCTAATCCATGGATGTGTTTCAGCACTGCCTGGCGATGTTGCAAGGGGATGTACGGCCTTACCTTATTTTGTGAAACGTCGCAATACAAGGGTACAGATGCCAGGGGGGTCTTCCGAGGTTCCAGTTTCAGTGAACTTGATGTTAATAGAAGATGCTTCAATTCGACGTCCGCCTGTTGGTCTTTGGCAACCGTTTCGTAATCAATTGCCATAGGAACGTTGATTGCTTCGATTCTTGACAGTGCATCCGCAACAACATTCAATTCCCCGCTGATATGCCGGATATCGCTGGTGAATTGGGATATATATTGTAGATATCGTTCTTCGTGCGGCAATCTGAAATTTGGACTTGAAGTTAACGCTGTTGTGAGTGGCTTGTGGTCGGTGAATATAATGAATTTCCTTCCTTCAAGTAGGTGACGAAAGTACTGTACGGATATTTTCATCGCAGTAAGCTCCCTACCAAACGTTGAGTACTTGAGCTGCGCTGGCGAAAATTTTTCGGAGTAAAAGCCCAATGGCTTCCACCGTCCTTCGTCTAACTGCTGGAGAACCGCACCTGCTGCTGTGTTCGACGCGTCGATGAGCAAACTTAGCGGTTTTGTAGCATCGGGAAAATGCAGCAATGTGGCGTCCGCTAACGAAGTTTTACATTCCTGGAACGCTTTTTCGGCGGTTTCTGTCCATGATAGCTTCCTGGAATCGTTTTTTTCTGTTGTCTGGGATAAGTCTCCGTAATTCGATCGGGGTGTCAGTGGCATGAGGAATAAACCGTTTATAACTGTTAACCAGTGCGAGAAACCTTCGAAGCTCTTTGGCAGTCGTCGGAAGTGGAAATTTGACGACTACATCGCCGCGATTTGGAAGTGGACGTACTCCATCCTTGCTAACCAGGTAACCAAGAAATTCCACACTTCGTTCCGCAAAATGGCTCTTGGCAACATTTATCACAAGTCCGTAAGATCGGAGTCGTTCGAACACTGCTCGTACGTGCTGATAATGTTCCTCCTCCGTTGACGAAGCTATGCAGATGTCGTCTACAAACACCACAACAAAATCCATATCGCACAATCCGAACTGCATCCTCGTAAATTCGAAAAGCCCGAACGGGGTTATGACGGCCGTCTTCGGAATATCTGATTCTTCCGCGGGAATTTGATGGTACGCCCTTTCGAGATCCAGTGTGGTGAAAATGCTTTTGCCCTGAAACGTATTCAACAGGTCGTGGATATGTGGTACGGGATAGCGATCTGGAACAGTTACCTGGTTTAAAGCACGGTAATCACCGACGAATCTCCACTGACCGTTTTTTTTTTCGGGACGCAATGGAGAGGACTAGCCCAACTGCTGCTAGACGGACGGCATATACCCAGCTCACTCATCAGCTGGAACTCCTTCTTAGCAGCGTCTAGTTTGTCTGGGGCGAGGCGACGACACTTGCTTGCTATGGGAGGCCCTTTCGTTTGAATGTAGTGGGTGACATCGTGCTGGATCGTTGTTTTAATTGTAGTTGGCAACGTCACTTCTCGAAATTCAGTCAATAATTCTCGGAAAGGATGATCTAGGGCGACCACGGTTATGGTGTGAACAGTTGTGTCTATTATACCCCCAATAGAGGATAATTTAGTAAGTCCGTCAATCAACCGTCGGTGTTTAAGATCGACGAGGATTCCGTACGACGCCAGAAAATCTGCTCCAATAATCGCAACACCTACATCACCAATCAAGAAGCGCCAATTGAATCTCCGACGTAGACCAAGATCGACCGTGAGAAATCGTTTGTCGTAAACTTTAATTCTGGAACCGTTTGCAGCATGGAGGTCGAAAGGTGCTGTTCCATTCGAACGCTCACGAATTGAAGCTGGGAGAATCGAAACATCCGAACCGGTGTCGATAAGAAACTTTGTGTTGCTGGTACGATCGAATATCAAAATACGGCGACTTTCCGGAGCTCCGTCCACCCCCGCCGATTCGGGTGAACGGGAGTTTAGTTTTTTTGGTTACTAAACTGGCACGGGTCTCGACACTTGAGAGCGCGACCACCGAATTTGCGATGAAACCAGCATATTTCGAAATCGCTTGCATTTCGACTCGAACGTGATGTCGAACGGCTACGAGATGAGCGGTTTGCCTTGATGTGCCTAATTTCGGTAGTGAGAGCCGCGATTTGGCCTCGCAATTCTTCCATATCGTTGTTTCCAGTGGGCATCGACGCAGCTGCGACGTGGGACAACGAAGATTCTAACATTTTGTCGGCCATTTCCGCCAATTTACCGATAGTTCCGTCACTGATGGTGAGAATGGCTTTAACGTTTGGGGGCATTCTCTGAAGAAACAACATTTTCAAGAGCTCATCGGTTACGTTTAATCCTGCTGCCAGCTCTTGCATTTTTGCGAGCATATGTGTTGGCCGCATATCACCCAAATCGCAGGAACTCAGCAAACGTTCCAACCTTCCTTCTGCAGACACTTGAAAACGCGAGATCAAACGATTCTTCACCGTACTGTACTTATTTTCCACCGGCGGATTCGACACTAAGTCCGTTACGTGGAAAATGACCGATTGGTCGATTTTGGCCACAATGTGATAAAATTTCGTATCGTCTCTAAGAACATTCGCGAGGGCAAACTGAGCCTTTGCCTGTGCAAACCACATGACAGGATCGTTCTTCCAAAAGTCCGGAAGTTTTACGGCGACGCCAGCGTTTTCGTTCGGGTTTGCCATTTTCGTTGAAGAAATGTATGGAAACGTTATCCAGTCGGTTCTTCTCCGTCGGGGTCACCAATGTGGGGCGCGAACGCGGACCGCGAATAAATAAAACGAATAAAACTTGTTGTTTTTAATCGACAATCTCAAGGAGCTCTTTATTGTCTCACGTGTTTTTCAACTCTGACACTTCCTCTTTTTCTCTGTTCGCTCACGAGGGGTGCGCTGATTGAAAGCAATACCAAGCACCACATATTCAATTTGTTGATTCGTTCAATGTTTTCCGATGCTGTGACAAACGACGCGTTTCCTGATCCTGTTCCCGCAATCGCTCTTGCTTGTAGTTTAAGCGAGGGCAAACTGAGCCTTTGCCTGTGCAAACCACATGACAGGATCGTTCTTCCAAAAGTCCGGAAGTTTTACGGCGACGCCAGCGTTTTCGTTCGGGTTTGCCATTTTCGTTGAAGAAATGTATGGAAACGTTATCCAGTCGGTTCTTCTCCGTCGGGGTCACCAATGTGGGGCGCGAACGCGGACCGCGAATAAATAAAACGAATAAAACTTGTTGTTTTTAATCGACAATCTCAAGGAGCTCTTTATTGTCTCACGTGTTTTTCAACTCTGACACTTCCTCTTTTTCTCTGTTCGCTCACGAGGGGTGCGCTGATTGAAAGCAATACCAAGCACCACATATTCAATTTGTTGATTCGTTCAATGTTTTCCGATGCTGTGACAAACGACGCGTTTCCTGATCCTGTTCCCGCAATCGCTCTTGCTTGTAGTTTAATTGATTCGAATGAGTTCACCATCCGTGTGAGTTGGGCCAATGTTAGTTTCTCTTCTTGCAGTAGCTTCTCTCTAAGCTCCGTTGGCGCGTAATAGATTACCTTATCTATAATTCTTAAATCTCGACTCTCTGCACTCGTTTTTCCAAAATCGCATCGTTTCGCCTGTTCCGAACATCGCATAACAAATTTTGACAACGTTTCGCTTGTTCCATCCTGAACAGTTGCTGGTGATAATTTGCAGAATTCATTCCTTTCGAAATGATCATGCTGCTTCGGTGAAAAGTGTTGATCGAGTTTGTCAATTGCTGTTTTATACGGATTGATTCTTTGCTCCTTATCTTCTACGACATCTGCTCCATCAATAGAATGGAATAAATCTTGCAATTCTAAACCTCCCTTCGCCAGGAGTATGTTCTTGAGCTTTGTGGCGTTTTTCTCTTCACTTGCTGCTATGATGACTTCGAAGTTCCTTTTCCATCTCATCCATTCCCTCCGAGTTAGTGTCTCAGGAAGATGATTGAACTTGAATGGGTTTATATTCCATCCTTCCATTTTGGTAACTTTTCGCCCTGAAAAAAAATATATGTATCATAGCGATGGTTACCAAGGTAACGCATCAAATTTTTTTTTTCCCTGCTCTTGGCAGCGTATTTTTTTCCCGTTTTCCTGCTCTTGGCAACGGAGTGTCCTGTCTTTAGCAGTGGATCTTTTTTTTTTACACAGGCTTTTACGCCTTTCCTTGCTCTTAGCAACAGAGTGTCCTGCTTTAAGCAGTGGATCTTATGGCCATGTTCAGAAAAACCTTTTTCTCTCCTTGTTAATTTGGTTTCTTACCAGTGTTCCGATGATTTTCCAATTAATCCTCGTCGTTTTTTTTAAAGCTTTATTAAAGAGATTTTTAGCCTTAGGCTAGTTCATCTCTAACCTCGTCGCCAGGTGTGGTACCTTGGTATATTCGGATTCCAATTCCTGCACACAGTAAAAGTACTTGTTATCTGTTCGGTAGCACAGTATATTCTGAATTTATTAATTGTCATGTTATCAAGGCCTGCTTGGATATTATTTTGCACAGGATACAAAGAGAAAGACGAAGAGAATCTGTCGATGTTACTTAGGATTTAATGCAATGTTCAGCTTGAAATTTTAAAATAAATAAATACCTGATACACAACTTTGAGTCAAAAATTGAGCAAGCAAAACGATTTTTCTTCAATTTTGAAGCTTTTTCAGGTGACGCTTTTAAGCAGTGAGTGTTCCACCTTTTCCGACGATGTGCCTAATGCAAATTAGCATTTTTACCATAACCGTCACGGCCTAGTCCTCTTTAGTCACCAGTCTAACCCTTTCCAACCTTTCCTACAGGTTCACAAAAAGATCTACGTTCCGCTGTCCGGTCTGTTCCAGCGAGGTCGCCTCTACAAAGCCCAATCATGCGGGTCGATCGTGCGGGATAAGATCAATGTGAATCCGAACGGCAGCGGTGGGGCACGTGGCGGCGGAGCCAACTCCAACGCACGCCATTCGACCATCTTCAACGAGAAGAATCGCTTCATCAAAAATTGTCTGAGCGGTTCCCGGTTGCTCGGCAGCGATGGGGACATCAACCACAATGGCAACAGTTTTATCGCCCTACCGTCCGGTGCCAACACGGCCATGTCCAACGGGAGTATGTCGCCGGCGGAGCTGGTTGTGGCCACCGGTGGTGCTACCAGCCCAGTCTGCGGACTGGCAACTGGCGGAGCCGGACCCACTGCTTCAGTGCCAATCAAAACCGCGTAGTAAATGTAGTACGGAGTCGAATATCTCATATTAAGTACCTTGGCTGTTGATTAGGGAAATTAGCACGAGTTCTGCGCACCGGTTCACTCGCTCATCGTCATCGTTTTATCATCATCCACTAGCGCTTCCATTTTCATCTGGTTTTAGTTCTAGATCTAGGCCTGAATGTTCCTTAAGTGTAGTTTGACTGATGATCGTTCGTCCAACATTCGACATCATATCGAATCATCTTGTACAACACCTACACTCATTTCTAGCAATGATTCCGTGAATATCAATATAGCACGCACGGATATGGTTAGTGCAAAATCGAGCAATTTCACACATTGTAAGAAATGCCGGACAATTGTGTAGCTTACACACAAACAGTACACGGAAGATACAGCTAAAAGCGCCAAAGAGAGATCTCGAAAAGTATCGAATATCAGTTCGTGGGCAGAGGCAAACGGCTCGGTTTCCAATATGGACCCATTCATTGTTCCGTTTCATTTAGATATTATTCTTTCCCTTTGAAAACAATACGACTGCACCGCACCAACCCCACCAACATGGAAGAACAAATGAAAGAATCGATCGATTTGGAATCTATGTGCAATAATTACAATGAGCTTAGGTTTTCCGTTGATTCAACAAACAAATAAAGGTAAAGCTACCTGCAGCTTTTCTTAACTACATAAACGGTTGATTTTCTGAATAGCAATTCTGTCCATATTTTGTATATGTTTTTCATAAGGAAACTTTAACTACTGTAAGTAATTCTGTGTACTACACAAGTAAATAGGATACGAAAGAAAGATATGTATTTAAATTTGTAAACTACTGTTTTGCGCTAGACTAATAGTTTCATAAATACACACACAAACACACAAGAACAAACATAAATATATACTTTGTATGTGCTGTGCACAGGAACTTGACGCGATGGAATGATAGAAAAAAAAGTTGGAAGATCAATGTAAACCTGGAAGCAGATAAAGTAATTTCTTAAATTACAAAAAAAAAATACAACATGTTTAATTTAGGTACCCTTTCTTCCTTGCCCCACGGAAGGCACCAGTAAAAAGTAATGGAAAAAAGTTGCCAATTTGTACATTACCATCATTTGTCGACATTTAGAACACATAGAGAAAAAAAAACACGAATCACTTAAATCAAACGTGTTGACATTTTAGGTAGATGCAAGCTTTTTAATACGACGGTAAAGAGTCACAAACAAGCAAAACAGACAAAAAAAAGTTACTAACAATGGGTGCAAAACTGTACGAACTAACTTTTATCTTAACCGTAGAAGAAAATAAAGCACATTCACACTCACAGTTCACACACCTGTACGGCTGACATTTCATTGGGGGAGGCGAACCAGCCAGACAATGGTAGCAAGTTTCGATATAGTAGGTAATTCATAGAGTCACATTTTTCACAATTCACAGACACAGCACCATCAAAGCATACAATTAAGTCATACCGGAAACAGGTTGCAACAGAAACTGCATTCTCAGTGTTTTAGTTTTATGGGTTAACGGAAGCCAACTAATCGAGAAGACTCATCAAGAAGCAACTCTCGCGTTTTCCTCACAATCGCGTCATCTACCGCTCAAAGCTAAATGCTGCGAACAACTTTGATAGCAACTCAGACAACCAGAATGTATGCTAATCGCTGGCGCAGCAAGGGGGTCCCCTTGCTAAAATACATTTGTATTTTTATACAACAATCAACTTTTACACTTTTTCCATATGCACAGAATGGGAATTGATTTTAGCGTTTTTTTGCTATGGACCACTTTTCGGTCAATCCTATTGTATGAAAAGTATCGATGACTTATGATTATGTTCAAGATCCCCGATTAAAATGTTGTGTAGAAGTATAGAAATGCAGGGAAAATTTTCTTTTTAAATTGTCAAATATTTAGTATTTAATTCATTACAACAAGGGGGTGGTTTTAGCCGAATTATGAGTAACACTAAATTCCCTCAAGAGCAGTTCCACGCCAAATGACGAATCGGAAAAACTCGACCTCCTCCGATTTGCATGAAACTTTGCATAATTGTGTGTTACGGGCAATAATTCACATTTTTACAATAAATTCGGCCATTTTGTTTTCAAAATTGCGTCGTTGCCATATTTCAATAAATTATAGCACGAAAACGTCACTTCTGGTCGAAATGACGTCTGAGATAAAGTTGTTGAGAAAATAAAGTCAAAATGGTTGACTGATTGACCATAACAAAGTGCCAAGTTTCAGGCAAATCGGAGAAGGTCGCATCAGATCTAGCGTAGAACTGCATACGACTTCTAGTTGTTTGGGAAAGTTCTCAACCTTACTCTTTTCTAAGCTTTTGCGAATGTGCTCCATTTCTATGGGTTGCCCAAGTTGCAGTGACTTGATCACCACTGTTCTTTCGATTTGTAGTAACGAGGTCGTCTCGAACAACTGTGGTTTGGATTTTTGGGAAATTTTTTAAAGTTAGTATTGTATTTTGCATTTCTAGCTGGATTCCTTAAAAGTGCGAAATTGCTAGTAATGGTCAGATCTTAGCGTACATTAGCGGAGCGGAGCGAAATTTGCGTTGGCATGAGAGAAAGAGAACTAGTACTTTTCTTTCCCGCGCGTGAAATATCGCTCAGGACGGAATTCACCTTAAAAGTGCGCATTTACGTTGTATCGTCTTGGTGCCTTCTGCGTACTTATTCCTTAGGGAGCATCCATTAAGTACGTCCATTATCGATTAAGGGAGAGCCGGGTTAACAAATGTGTGATAAGCAATGCATTAGGTATAGGACAAACGTGACAAAAGGGGGGTTGATTTTCCCTTAATTTCGCGTGACGTACTAAATGCATGCTCCCTTATGGAAGGAAAAAATGCGCCTAACGTAAACGTGCTATTTTATAAGCGTTTTTGCACTTTTCGTCACACTTATAACATAGAGGTAACTCTAAGACTAGAAGGTCCCGAAATAACGTGCTCAACTTTTTGGCTCAGCTCTGGTACTCTCTTCGGTCCCAAGCTAATCGATTCACCCCTCGAAACATAGGAAAAACCAATAACCCCTCATTTTATCTGTCAAACTTTCATAGCGAATCAAAACAAACATTGCGTAGTACTAGAATTTCGACAAGAATAGGGTACGTTAATCGTTTGCTTGGGACCAATAGGCTACTAAAGTGGTGAGCCAATTTAAAATTGTTAGTTTCGTATTGATTGTTGCTTATAATGTACGCAATGCGCTATATGCACGGCCAATGAGATAAATTCAAATTTGAGTTCAGTCATCGCATTACAAAAAGTGCAGGAACTCAGAGATGAGTAAATTTGCCTCATGTTTTTCCAAGCTTATCCATGAAAAAATTCTCAAATATAAGAAAAGTAAATATTGGATTCTCTCAGTTTGGTACTACTCCTAGGCTGAGTAAAATTTTCATCCATTTCCTCATTTTCCGGCTGATTTTTGAGGTTTTCCACAGGAAAACATGACACACTGATCTCAAATTTGGGTTGATCTTATTAGCCGTGTTAAAACGGAAAGAAGTTTGTCAAAAAATCAAAAGTTGCTTTTCAAAAAATCCTCGAAAAAATCATACATTGCCCATTATGGTGGATCAACTTTACAACTGTTTTTTAGAACCGTACTCGAAGTCTCCAACAACTGAGCGAAATTTGAACGAATTTGGTTATGATCTGAATTTGCAGGAGAATTTTAAATGTTGTATGGGGAAATGAATGGGAAATAGAATGAAACTATCTATTTGCTTACTTAAAAATAAAATAAAATAGCTCAATTTAACAATTATTTACCCATATTATCGTTTTCGTTCGAACCGTATTTTCCATACAAAATACCTCCATCCTTTTTCTTGTCTATTTTGGTATATTTTGAACATCCGAGATGCGCAAAATAAATCAAAACGGCCAGGCCTACTGTGCAGCATTTAAGGGGCAAGATGATTCAGAAACATCGGGCCTGTTAAAATCAAAGATTGAAACATGATGCTTCAGAATCCAATAAATGGATGAAACGTGGACAACTCGTACCCTACGTTCCGCTGTATTGTTATTTATAAATGATTGGTCGTTGGGAGCATCTAATCTAAAAAAGTTAAGTGATGCTCAATTTTCCTCTAGTGGTTGGGACATGAGCACTAACTCTTGTCCTAGCCCATATGGCTTATGGTTATAGCGCCATTACTCGCTTTCTGAAAAGAGAAAAATGGAATAAAAGCCCGTAGGAGAAAGGAAATGAAGGAAGGAACCCTAGTTCTATCTTCCCTTGTGAAAAAGCGGGTCCCTAATCAATCTACAGGAAAAGTTCGCTTAGGCTCTGAACCATTTGACGAATTATTTTAACTTTTGGTTAAAATTTGACAGATGGAAAGTTATCGATTAACCCTGCTATCCGAGCGTGGTTACTTCTGACAGACAAGAAGTTAAATTTTGACAACTGTGGCTCGAAAACCGGTCGATCAACAGCACGGGGATTTTCGAACATAAGAAATAACTTTCGAAATGTCACTTTTAACCACGACTTAAATTTAACTCGGCAAATGGTTCACAGCCTTAGACTCACAACGAAACGAACTGAAGTGACCAGTTGTCACTCACGGTGAAGTGATTGCCATGTAAATCAAATGGGAATCACTTCACCGTGAAGTGACATCAGTAGCAAGGGCCAATGACTCGCGAACTTTTCCTTTTGTGTGCTTCATAAAACCTCGCAAAATTTTCCAAAGCTGAACACGAACAGGTGAGAACTAGATATAATAACATATAAATGAAAATAAAAGGAAGATCTCAGCCAGCTTCATAATTTTGTACTGCGACTGTTCTGCTGCACTACTGTTGAACCAAAGGCACTTCCAAGACTTTTCCGGGTTATTTCCAAACTAGTTCAAAAGTTCTACAGGCAAATCATGAGCACATGTACTTTCAAGTACAAAACATTAAGGCTGTGAACCATTTGCCGGGTTAAATTTAACTCGTGGTTAAAAGTGACATTTTGAAAGTTATTTTCTATGTTCGAAAATTCCCGTGCTGTCGATCGACCGATTTTCGACTCACGGTTGTCAAAAGTTAACTTCTTGTCTGTCAGAAATAACCATGCTCGGATAGCAGGGTTAATCGATAACTTTCCATCTGTCAAATTTTAACCAAAAGTTAAAATAATCCACCAAATGGTTCAGAGCCTAAACGTCTAAAACCAGAAAAAAGGGCTAGGGCGACTCTCTTGTCGAATGAATCAATTGGCAAATCTATGTTGGAACTTGGCCATACCCACTCGTTCCCATACTTTGACAATAGCGCGCTTGACATTTGATTTCTCATCAAAATACAACACGAAAGCGGCTATTCGAAATGATGTCTAAGGCTGTGAACCATTTGCCGAGTTAAATTTAACTCGTGGTTAAAACTGACATTTCGAAAGTTATTTTCTATGTTCGAAAATCCCTGTGCTGTCGATCGACCGGTTTTCGAGAAGAACTTAGCCAAGGTTGTCAAAATTTAACTTCTTGTCTGTCAGAAGTAACCACGCTCGGATAGTAGGGTTAATCGATAACTTTCCATCTGTCAAATTTGAACCAAAAGTTAAAATAATCCACCAAATGGTTCAGAGCCTAAGACAAAGTTGTAGAAACCGAAATAGGTGAATATATAAACAGGAACGAACTCACCAAATGAACGATGGTTTGCCCGTGAAGCAAACACTTGGAAGACTGTTGCATCTCCTAATTCTAGCTCAACACATCGAACCATTCCATCGGATCTCCAAAGAAACTCTTAAGCTGGGTTTAGATTAGGCAAGTCAAATGATCAACTCAGTTGAATTCAATTGGCTTGAAAAGTTGAGTCTGGTTCAACTTTTTTCAATTCAAGTGAGTTGATCAAGTCAGTTGAATGGCATGGTTTACACGTTCAATTCACGTTCAGGTCAGTTGAATTCAACTGAGTTGATCATTTGACTTGCCTAATCTAAACCCAGCTTTACACAATCCGCCTCCAATCAGAATCATCGGGCTAGCTTGCCAATCACCTGAGCTCTGACGACAAGGATGCTGATAAAAAAAAAAACTTTCAATTGCATTTCACCCGATCACTTGTACTTTCTTTGCACTAAAGTTCTTTTCTAGAACTATGTTATCGAGTGGCACATTGTTTCGGGCTGAAACGCGATGAAAAAATCAATCACAGAAAAAAACGAAGCCTAACATTTGACACTCGGATAGCTTTCACGTCCTTACAGAAGCAGAGCACACTTCGATCGCCTTTTGTATGGAAAATACGGTTCGAACGAAAACAAGAATATGGGCGATTAACTTTTGACGTAGGACTACGTCTTTGATTTCTATATGGGGGTACACTTTGTGAAAACCGAAAATGGAACATGTAACAAATTAAGAAAGATTTTGAACGTTAATAACTCAGCTGCCCCTGGTCCAATTTCAATAATTT